TCATGACCAAGGCAAAAGACCAGAGGCGAAAACGGAGCCTCCCCTAGGCATACCACCACGCCTAACTCGGAGTTGGAGTGTTATACAGGTCACATAAAGGAGGAGCTATTCCAACCTGGATCTCAATCCGCCAGGAAGTAGGTAAAAACACACACTGGTTCGACAGAGTGGTTCGAGTTATCCCGTCAGTTGGCAACCTTCCAAGCAGCCGAGACTTTTAGTACACCATAATGGCTTCAAGCGCGTGAGATAGTTTATAGCGAGGAACGTGCGTTCAGCCCGTGACATCCCTCTCCGTTACCAGACCTCAGGCTCCAGCCACTCTCCAAGCCGGCCACTGGACTGATGCGGGAATGTGAAGTGCGTACACTACACACACCATCACACTCAGTTAGTTTTCCAAATCACCAGTAAAAGTGATTATCTGTTCTCTTCTATAAGATGAATTTATTATCTCTAAACATATTCTATGTATCCTTCCCTCACGTAGACTATCCTTGAAATCCTACCACTGTGATGCGATCGGGAAGCCAGCAGCTTGAGCTCCAACTCCTTGTCGGAGTTGGGCAGGCTGCAGTTATGCGGATAAAACATCCTAACGCAATTTCTCGCAAACTCTGATTACGCACAGGTGATGAAACAGTAAAATGAGTGTTTTAATGCATACTCCAATATTTTAATCTCCTATTGGCAGACGCTTTAAAGGATATTTACAATTTAAGAAAAAATCTGCGGAATGTCCGTACACACCGGGCTCTAATTTGTTCCTGGGACCGTCTTTCCAAGGATGTCTGCGTACGGTCGCGGAGAAGTAGACACAACTTTTCCGGGTCGAAAGCCTCCAAGTGCGCAGTCGTCTTCAAATTGGATGTCACTTGCGCTTAATGAAGCGCAGAGTAGCGATGTAGAAAAGAATAGCGTAGACCGCAGTCAGACAGCCTGACATGGAGAGCATAAAGGACCAGGTTTTGAGGTAGAATGTGGCGTAGAAGAGGTTGCCTGCCACCAGACAACCACTGCCCACCACCAGGGCGGTGAATTTGAAAAAGGCACAGATGCGACCACGCACACATGCCCCCGATGAGGAGCAGAAGCTGAGTATATCGATGAGGAGGACAAGACCGAGGATGAGGCTACCCAGGCAGAAGAGGGCAGCCATGATGAGGTGGGGTATTGAGGGCAGGCAGGT